AAAAAAAAAAAAAAAAAAAAAAAAAAACACAAAAAACACAAAAAACAAAAAAAAAATAAAATTGAAAATTGCAAAAAATGGCATTCAACATAGAACAGCCACGACAGAGGAAATCCAAGGCGCGTTCACCGTCGGCAAACTCACGGCGAGGCGGCTGACTGGCCGGCGAGTCTGACCGCGAGAAGGAAGCGAGCAAAAGGACCCGTGATATAGTGGGTGGATATTTGCCGGCTCACATGATGTTGGTGATAAAATGTCAAACATACCTTTTTCTTAATGTAAAGTTCTTGTTTAGTTTTTGCCGTTGGATTGTTCAATTCGATGGACACGATGTATTCTTATTTCTTTCAAAACTATTTGCGTGACCCTATATATATATGGTAAATATTTATTATGAGATGCAATATTATTAACACTGATATACAAATTTTATATACAAACATTTAATTTTGTTAATTTTTTATGTATATTTATATGACAAAAATACTACACAAATTTTTTTAAAATTTTAAAATTAATTAATTATCTTATTCAATAATTGATTCTCTCTTGGGTTTTATCTCTAGCCTACCCTAACTTGCTTGGGACTAAAAGGCTATGTTGTTGTTGTTGATTCAATAATTGATTCGGTGACCAAAAGTTGAACTGACGACCTAGAGACCTACTCGAGTCGATTCCCGAGTTGAGCTTAAAAACTATGCTTTTGAGAGACAATTTCTATACATAGTATGTACTTAAGCTGTAAATAAAAGTTCACATTTGGACAATCATTTTAATTGTATATAGTAGTAGTTATATCCTATGTCCTTAAGATGAAAAACAAAGTCATTGTTTGCTTTTCAGGATGGGATTGGACTAATTTAGTCCAATGGAGAAGGATTGTAATGTTAGAATTGGACTATTCCTGTGTTTGTTATATATGATAAGGTGGTAGGATAACTTTAAATTAAAAAAAAAAAAATATTTAGGTGGTGTAAAATACTATTTTGCTCCTTTCAAATAAATCAAAAACAGTCTAAAATTATTAAAATGGTGGTAAAATAAAAATTTACTACAACAGGATATAAATAATCTCACCTATTTCCTGAGATTAGTTTATCCCATGTATGAGGGATTAAACATTTTTATACTGGTCGATGGGATTACTGCAGGTTTTAGTCCCATGAACCAAACGCAGGTCTGGATTAAGCGGGATATCCTGCCTAATCCCACCAAGCAAACATGCAGAAAAAGAATTTTTTGTTCATAAGCAATCAAGTAGGTAAAGTATTTTTTGTTCATAAGCAAACAAGTTGCAGTGTAAACTTTCCATTCAGAACAAAGGTAAAGCACCATATTTCGAATAAAGTATTGAAATCGATAATAGCAATTGAAAACTTCTGTGCTATAAATGAGCATTCATACACAACATTTCATGATTTGCAACGCAAACTAACCATTCTCCATACATGAAACCATCAGCAACAGACATTCCACAACTTATAAGTATCCTCAACAACTTCGAAAGAGTTCTAACAGAAGTGAAAAAATAAATTAAGCATGATAAATTCCAAAACCAAAAATGCTAGATGATTTCATGATTGAGGGGTACACATCCTGAATCCATCTAGTGGGATTTTACATACTCCTGAACAATAGGAAGACCCTCACTATCTTCCCCATAATCCTGCAAAAAACCATTAGAAACCATTAAGCTAAAAAATGTTTTTCAAGCCAAAGGGTAAATATAAAGCTTAGCAAGGAAATTATTAAAATTCATCTAGAGCTCCAACGCATTTACCTTAACAACAACACAGGAGCAGCCGACAACTTTCCTTGCTTTCCCTTCAGAATCAATCTTACACAACTGGATACAGATAACAGAACATTAATGTCAACATGGAAAGACACTTTACTGGCGTTTATGTACAAGTTAAGAAATAACAGAGAAATTTCAATGAATAGCAGAAACATGCCTGGAACATTACAACTAAAATAGACAACACCATTAAGAGAAACTGGTCTCACTTTTTAACACAACGACTAAGATAGACAGCACAATTAAGAGAAACTGGTCTCACTTTTTAACACAATTGAAGTTACTAGCCCAATGGATATATGCTCTGATAAATACAGAAATAGACTCACTATGCTAGTAGGGGAGAACCATCAGTAAATGGATTATCACATCAATATTGCCACGCAAAGGTGACTCAGACGACCGTCGTGAGATTTTTATTCCATATTCATCATTTGGCCTCAAACCTCACTGCTGATTCCAGAAGTGAAACAAGTTGTGCCAAAAGGTCTCTTCTATTTTAAATTTTAAGAAGTGAAACAAGTAATATAATGTATTTCCTTCTAAGATGGTCGGGTGGAAATTGAGATCCACACAAATTAAACTGAAGGAATGAGCTGATTTTGGGTGCTGCATTCATCTCAAAGGCATAAATATCCAATCCAAAGAGCCAAACTCCAGCCCCATTGTATCCCATATAACATATTTAAAAAATAATATACATAATAAGCAAGAAAAGGCAGTACAAAGCCACTCACCCCAACCCACTCGCCAAGAGTTTTAGCACTAGGCACCGTGATCAAGCTAACATTGTGATCAGCACACAGAGACTTCACCAGTTTGACATAATCAGACTGGTCACAGTCCTCTGCCAATACACAAAGCTGAGCAGCATGCTTCTCAATAACCTTAGCAGCTTCATGAAGCCCTCGAGCAAGACCACTGTGAGCCCGTGACTTTTTCAACACCAACTGCAAAGCAGTCATGATATCCATAGGCTCCCCGAGAGCTGGTGCTGGTGCTGGGGCCTCTGCAACAGCAACATCCTCGCTGTAATGTGAGAAACAGAGGCACTTGTCAGTAAAAGCCTACAAAAAACTTAATAACACAATAGATGCATGAACCAAATTCAGAAACTTTCTCAAAATCCTGTAAGACTACCTTCATGTGTGGAAAAATTATACAGACAACAGATTAACAGGAGTAAGTGTGTCTAAAGACAACTTTCACAAGTTAATAATATAATGTTAAAACTGCAGATGTAGTTGTGTGCCAAATAATATGGAGCAAACTGAAAACAGGGACTAAAACTACAATTGTCTTTCTAAATTATATGTTGCACCATTGGCAGAGTTCTTTGCAGAGGTAAGACAAACTTCATGTAGTTAGTACACATTAATAGGGTTACACAATGTCACTCTGATAGGTAACTTTTTGAAGTTTCTGAAGTAAGCTAAATTAAAGGGTAATCCTAGTTTACTCTGAAATCTCTAATGAAAACTGATAGTAAGCTAAATGAAAAGGTAAGTCTAGTTTACTCTGAAATCTCTAATGAAAACTGATAATGCTAATGCAAACTTATATGTGGACTTAAACTTTAGAAGAAGGCAAAGCCCTAAATGAAATAATGCAAGGAGATGACATGAAACAGGAATCCGGTTAAACTGTTAGAAGAAACCCATTATCTGGCATGAAAAAATGCTACATCAGCGTACTATCAGAACTACACCATAGTCTGATGAAGCTCATTTCGAAAATATTACACTCGCGAATCAAAAAACACATCTAAGATGAATAGATTCAGCAATTACCCTGACATTTTGCTTCGTGATACGAATGCTGGGAGCTTCTAACCTGTTGCCACCATTAAACGAGCAACAAAATCAGAAAAAGAGAAAAAAAAAAAATATATAGAGAGAGAGAACAGTACAGCTACGATGTTTCTAAAATCCGTATTTTTATAGTAAATACTCTGAAAGTTGCACAATTTCAACCTAAGCAGCCAAAGGCAACGGATCGCCAATGCATCCGGTATTCCTTCTTTCAATATAACCAAAAAGCTCAATGATGGGTTTGATAAATGAACAATTTCAAAATTGACAAATTTTCAACAGCGCAAGCAGAAGTATAATTCCAAAATATGAGTAGAATGCGTCGAAACAACAGAAATTAGTAAGGCCATAACATTCGAACCTGAAGGTGGAATGACGCCGGCGCTAAGGGAGTGTGTTTCAGTTTTTGACAAGGTAAAGAGGGTGAGGTGTGGTTTTATAGTGATGGGTAAAGCATAAACCCTAACCAGTTAATGCTCAATTTACCTCACCACCCTTGTTCATACATGTTTATGAATATGTACACCGTAGGATGAGGGTTAATTTCGTATTTTGATAAACGAATGCCAACCCCAAGTGAGAATATTCGTGATTCGTAGTTGTATTTTACTAAGTACACTTGTTTATGAGTATTTTTGTAAAAGTTCATTTTTTTTAAATGGATTAATATAAAATAAATTTCTCTAAATGTCTCTATCTTTTGCTTATTGATATGGCACACCATAGCTCTTCTAAAGAGTTTGGTTAAACCAGGCGAGGCTCGAATCAGAGGAGTTTGGATCAGGTTGAAACGAGTTCGTACGAGCGCAGAATAAGTTGAAGCCACCAAAGCATAGATCGTAGATTAGAGAAAATCAAGTCGAGTTAGATCCTATGACGACCTGGTGACTCTCAGCCTAGCTAGGTCATGGAATATCAACCTGATGATGAAGGGTCTTTCATTGACGACCTAATAGCTTAGGTCGAGGCAGCAGCAGATTCATAAATTTTCGTGAGTCAGGGCAAGAAGTTTCGATTTTTTTTAATCATATTGGACAAAGTACTTATATTAACAATTAAATAAATCGTACTTGCAAAAAAAAAAAATCGTTGGAACAATCGGGTGTTGAGGGGTTTCCTATTCAATTTGCCTTTGACTTGATGCTAAAAATGAATTGGGAATGATGTCTTATTATTTTATTTTGCATTTTTATTATTATTAGTAAGAAATATACCAAAAATATTTTATAATCTTTTTTTCTTCATTTTTTGTAATAAGAAATTAAAAAGTCATTTCCAGTTACTACAGCCATAAGTGGGCTGTTACAACCTAAAAAGTCATCTCCCACCTGGCTGGAAGTCCTATAAGTAGGACATTGTATAGAGCTACAGGACACACTGAAAATATTATCTACATCTCTACCTCTTTATATACCGATAGCCTCACGCATCATACAACACTTGCTCAGTTCTCGACTCTGTTCGTGTTCGCTGGAACTCTGAAGTTTGTGTGCTACAGCATCCGAGTCAAATAGTCGTTGTATCTTTGGGGACATTACGCACCCGTTAGCACTACACGGGATGTATTTGTCTTGCAGCAAAATTTCAATCGCCTCGACTTCAATCTATCGCTCAATAATTTGTAATTTATTTTTTGTTTTAGTTCATATTGGACGAACTGAACTCTTCAGTCAGTTCATAGGTTCCCACGTAATGGAATCACTATTTTGTAACAAAACACCCACAATACCTAAACTTAACAAAAACACACAAAAGATTAAAGTCCTCCTAACAACCAGCAACCGCTCCAACACAACACCGCACAAGATAAGAGCCGACGACGACACCGCTAAAGCTCGGAACACAACCTATCCACTCCCTTCACCCAAGAATGACGGGCTAACATTGATCCATCCCAGACGAGCCCAGGACCAACTCGGAGACGCACCTAGGAGACCCACACCAACCCCTACCCCTACACAACCCTGACTAGAGCCCTCAAATCGGCCGAAAGGCTCCAGGCGGACGGGAAGCCCCATCTCAAACCCCAGGACAAGAGGCAAAACAGGGGGAGAAGCCGACGTCGACCTCAATCTCGCCCACCGAAGGCCCGACGGACTGGACCCGCCACCCTGCCCTTACCATTGGAGAGCCGTCTGAAAACACCACCACATCCTCCGCCTAAAAGGAGGGGAAGCACCGCTTCAGAGAAGACGAACTCTTCAGAGGAAAGAAAGGCAGAAGCCTCGTTCTGAACGGTCATCTTCAAGAACGATTGGAGCACCGGCTGAAAGGAAGGGACTGAAAATGGTAGACGCGAGGGTTTGAAGGATGATTTGGGAGGTTTTTTACGAGGGAAAGGAGGACGTTTTATTAGAACTTAAAAGTCCAAAATCTGAATGAATTAACACCAAAATTTGAAACACTTATTACAAAAGCACGAGACAATTTCACATAAAATTCTAAAATATAAAAAATGGACACATAAATTTTAAAAAAACAATATGCATTTACAAAGCACTTTGAATAACTCGAAAGGGTACACAGGATAACTGTCCACCACGCATCTCCCTCATTATATAACATAATCATGGCAGTCAAATTCACCTGCGGCGGCGGCGTTTAATCTCATCCTCTCTCACACCTAAATTGGGAAGAGAGAGAAGAAAGAAAAAGTTGAAAAATGCCAGTGATGCAGTCGACTTTCCTGCAGTCTCCGTCCATTTGCCGTTTCTCGGTTTCATCTCCTTCATCCGTGAAATTCACAGTCTCTTGTTGCTTGGTTGCGTCGCCGGCGACACTGAGTGTGGACATCGACAAGAAGCCTTCAGAGAGAAATGAAGTGCGCTTGGGATTGCCGAGCAAGGGCCGAATGGCCACCGATACTCTTGATCTTCTCAAGGTGATTTGCGTTTACCGCATTGAGGTTCTTTGTGTGCCTTTATTCTTTTTACCTTAGTTTTGTCTGGATTTTCAAATTTATTTTACTTATCTTATATTGTTGGTTGAAGGATTGTCAATTGTCAGTGAGACAATCAAATCCACGGCAGTATGTGGCGGAAATTCCACAGGTGCGTTTATTATATTGGTTAAGAGATTGCAATGCATTTTGCTACTTAGACTTTCAGCATTATTATTGGAGTTTTTTCGCATCTTGGTGAATGTTGACAACCGATGGACATTGCTAATAAGAGAGTCGGGGATGATGTGGATCTGTTATTTTCTTATATACGAGGCTAATTAATTTCTCAGACAAACTTTTTCGGTTTGTACTAGGCTATGAGCTGAATTGACATTCATTACTGATTGTGGGTTACTTTTGCATTTCAATTTCTGCGGTTTTGTGTGGGGATGAGTCCTCTTGAAGTAATTGAGATTCTGAAGCATGTGGCTTAGGCCCTCTTTTTGAAAAGATTGTGTTGGAATAGTCGGCTAACTTAACAACTTTATGTTCTGTAGTTTCATTGACTTAGAAATATACATCTTATGAAATTCATGTAGAGGTTGACTAAAGGTGATGTGTGTGTGGCTTCCATTGCCCCTTGTTTTGAATTCATAGTCGTGCAATTTTTCTCCCTAATCATTTCTCAATTTCCCAAACCCCCTGGATGTCATTCAGTAAACATGTAAACTAACATCGACAAATTCCAAACATAAAGTTGTTAATGACGTACTTTTTCAAGTGCTACATGAGTATATATTTTTTGTACTGATGTACTTTCTTAGATTGGAAAAATATGCCTGACCGACCATACATTGCTCAATGAAATATTCTCCAGCTTCCTTCTTGAATATGTATTGAACTCTGATGTTATGACTGTGGTGCTGCACAAACAATTCAATACACTCTTTCTGGAGTACATGTGGACAAGGATGAATGTATATAGTTTTTGCTTGTTTCCTATGATAGATGACTCTTGGTCTGTGTTTCAGATTTCAAATTTAGAAGTTTGGTTTCAACGCCCAAAAGATGTTGTGAGAAAACTGGTCTCTGGAGATTTGGACCTTGGAATTGTTGGTCTGGACACTGTAACGGAATATGGACAGGTTAGATTTGATGGGCCGCTGTATATAACTATCATAGTAGAAACTCTTACAATCTCCCTATAATTAAATGAGGTTACATCAAGATATTCCCGTAAGTTACAACTGTGATGTGATATCACCACATATCAAAACATTTAGCCTTCTTAAAAGTTTGTTTAGCTCCTGTTGCTACACACTGACCTTGTTCAATTATATACATTTTTTATATGGTCACTTGTACGATTCATTACTTGATTATTATCATAAATTTTTTTTCTACAGGGGAATGAAGATCTCGTTATCGTCCATGATGCCCTGGACTATGGAGATTGCCGTTTATCTGTAGCGGTATGAACTTGCTTATAACTGTAACCTCCAAATTGCAGACTCCTCTAAGTTGAGACATTATGTAGTGGAAGTATGATATTGTTCTTCTTCTCAGATTCCCAATTATGGCATATATGAGAATATAAATTCTTTGAAAGAGCTTGCTCAGATGCCGCAGTGGACTCCTGAGAGACCTCTAAGAGTAGCTACTGGTTTCACATATGTATGACTTATACCATTTACTTTATTTATTTATTTATTCGTTTTCTGCATCATCATGGTGATAGTATCACTAAGAAGGGCAGGTTCTAACGGTATATAACTTTTCAGTTGGGTCCTAAGTTTATGAAGGAGAATGGACTGAGTTATGTGACATTTTCAACTGCTGATGGAGCTCTGGAAGCAGCTCCGGCAGTAAGCATCAAACTTCTCTCTGTATCTTTGACGATCATGTCTGCATTATGTCTTGCTACTATTTCGTCCTGGACTTTTTNGCATCATTTCTCCTTTCAGGATGTTTGTTTTTTCTTTTCCTGCTTTTTGTCTCTTGTCTGCAACATATAATTCTGTTCATTTGCACCAATATAATGTTTATGGTCATTTAGTTTGATGGTAGAGCTTTAGTTGAATAGTTGGTCTGAAAGATAATACCAGAAGAAAGCAAGGTGGAGAAGTAAGTGTTAGAAGCTTCAACTAGAATGTTAGATGGACAATATTTGTGAAAGATGCTAGGTTAAATGTTTGAATGAAGGAAATCTCTGTATCAAGGTTAAACTGAAATATGCTACTCTTGATTTATAATCCAGCAAATGGTCTCCACTTATCTTCTTTCCCCCAAACGACATGACAGAAACTCATAGTTGTCATACTTGATTGAGCTTGTCGTCAAGTACCAAATAATACGAGTGCCGTGCTCACCTAAAACTAAGTGGTATCAGATTAACATAAAAGAGTGAAACTTACACAACTTTCCAGTCCTAAAAATCCTTAACATGAGTGTAAACTAATGGATTCGTACTTCCAATTCCACCAGTAGGAAGCCATGAAAATCTCTTGTTTAACAGAGCTCTCATATTCAATTTCAAATTCTTTTTTATTCTTCCCATTTATGTATAAAATATATAACTCTCATATGCACGATGTACAAGATGTAGCTATGTGCAACGGGATGTCCTTTGGATCTTTTCCATGCTTCCTTGCTGCTTATAACTGGAAACATCTTGCTCTCACTCAATACCTGTAAATCTAACGATATTCTGTAAACAAATATATAACGCCTAAACGGGCTTGAGGTGTGATTTGAATGAAGTTAATTTACAAGCAATCTGCGAAGAAGAATCTTATAATCTATAGTTCTAGAGGAGATTGGGTTGGAAGATTGGTGTTATTTCCAATGTTGCATTTTCACATGCCCAGTACTTGGCTGCATTAGTACACATATTTGTTCATACACTAGTGAAAATGGCTGTTGGACGTGCTCTTGGTGAATAATGATTTTATCTATGGTACAATGTTTTGACTTTTCTCTTATTAGGCTGCTAGCCATCCACCTTTTGCTTACCTGTTTCTATATTTTGTTGTACTTGAATTTGTACTTTGCTGCTTTGGTTCTCTATCACACTGGTTCAGTAGTCTTTAATATTCTTTCATTCGGTGTGGATAAACTTACCTGCACACCCCGTTTTGCCTTTTATTTCACCCAAAAAAACGTGATCTAATTTCTAACTTTATAACCCTGCCCTATTTTATTTAAGATGGGAATTGCCGATGCTATCGTGGATCTCGTGAGCAGTGGGACCACATTGAAAGAGAATAATCTGAAAGAAATCGAAGGTGGAGTTATCTTGGAAAGTCAGGTAACGGCTTCACATTCTCACGAGATCTGATAGCCTGCAAAACTTATTGACATTTCTGACTCAGGGGCCCCGCTCAATCTTCTTTGATTGAAATGTGTCATTTCAGGCTGTGCTTGTTGCAAGCAGGAAGTCATTAATCCGGCAAAAAGGCGTGCTTGATATAACACATGAGATGCTTGAAAGATTTGAAGCTCATTTAAAGGCCGTTGGTCAGTTCACGGTGCGAATCATATTTTTTCATTTTGACAACCATCTTCTTTTGCTTGGTGTTCTTTGTTATGTACTGTTTTCATGGTAGGTGACGGCCAACATGAGGGGAAGCAGTGCAGAGGAAGTGGCTGAACGAGTCCTAAGCCAACCTTCGTTATCTGGGTTGCAGGTTTGACTAGTTATTCTATGTTTAGTTTTTTTGAGATTCTGTATCAAGGATGTTATTACCAGAGAGAGATAGAGAGATATGGGTTTTACGTAAATATGAAATAACCAATTATCTTTTGAAAATCAAAATTTGGGAAAACCCCCTTGAGATTTGCATTTTCCTAACAAATGCCCCACTCAACAGTGAAATTTGTAAGGATGGGTATCAATATTAAGTGAGTATTTTTAGTTTTAAAGATGACTGTCCTTTTATTTTTTTCTCTGTGTGTGCGTGTAATTAGACTAAACTTCTGTTATTTCTATCAACCTGTCGTGACTATATCCGCCGTCTATAGTACTCTACCTATTTCGCAATGTTGGAAAATTTCTTATAATTTATTTACTTTTATATGAAGGGACCCACTGTTAGCCCAGTTTTCTGTAAGAACGATGGGAATGTGGCAGCAGATTATTATGCCGTAGTCATCTGTGTGCCGAAGAAAGTACTTTACGAATCTGTTCAGCAGCTGAGGAAGGTGAGTGTTCACATTTTACAATTTATATGTGCGTAAACTTCTTGAGTTGGATTTTACAATTTACATCACATGACGTACTATCTCCTCTCAGTGGTTCATTATATTTTTCAAGACCCATCTTTAGATTTGGTTTTTACATAATTTCCTATAGCTTCAAAATTCCCGATTGCAATATGCTTTTGTGAAAATTTAACCTTTATATTTAGAACAAATATATCTTTGATGCGTGCAGATTGGAGGCAGTGGGGTCCTTATTTCACCTCTGACATACATCTTCGATGAGGAAACTCCAAGGTGGCGCCAGCTTCTTTCCAACTTGGGCCTCTGATTGTGTGTCCAAATATCGTACTTCACATTTGTGGGAAAAGAACACGCGGGATAACAACTGAGGCTCTGTAACTGTTAAAGTTTTCGTGCTAACCACATCATGTGCTTGTCGTGTAGAATTGTATTTACGGCCTGTTTTGTACACAACCGACTAGCTGGCGGCTGATTGTGTCATTCAAAGGGATGTGTGGTTGGTGTATTTTTATTAAGTCGTGGAGGACTAGGTGCTGACTTACTTCGTGTTATACCCAAAATGGTGCTTATTACGTTCAGTTTTTCTTGTCTTAGGGATGTTTGTAAAAGGATGGCAAAATGTGGTATTTTTCTATCAAAAAGGATTGAACCGAGTGCACTAAATAATTTGTGTTGTAATTTGTGTTGTTGTTGTTGTTGTTGTTGTTGTTGTTGTTGTTGTTGTTGTTGTTGTTATTATTATTATTATTATTATTATTATTATTGATCTTTTTCCGTTTTGGATCGACAGCGAAGGTGCTTCTGTTTAAAGCTAATGATGATAAGGAATTGTTTGCCATGAGAAGCTGCAAAATAAAATGCTAATTTCGTTTTACTTCAAACCTATCCATTTAATTTTGTGAGATAATTCAAAAGGTTTCTGAAAAATGTATTACTTCATCCTCTCTCCTCAAAAGTCATGTATACGTTTCTTTTTGTTTATATATATATATATATATATATATATATATATATATATATATATATATATANATAACTTCAATAAAGAGAATGTACACAAGACGAAAGGTTAAGGGCATGCTTGTTTACAAATTATTTCATTCTCATCCAATTCATACTAAAAATCTAACTCAACTTTAACTCAACCCCACTATCTTTAATATTATTCATATGATTAAATTATACAAACCAATCATTCTTACACATCACATCAACTTTAATTAACTATTCATCAACTCACATAATTTTAACTACCTATCATTTCCAATCATTTTCAATCATTTATCTCATACTTTTACATCAAATCAATTTTAATCATTTTATTTTAAATATTATTTTAATATATTCTTAAAAATTCACTAACAACTAACCATACCACCTTTTTCAAAATTAACTATGGTTAACCAAAATAATTCATTTTGAACAAATTATTCCATAAACAAATGCCCCCTAAGGGGGTGATCGTTTATGAATTTAACTAGTTTTTAATTGGTGTTTTTATAACTATAGTTAAGTTTGAAAAAAGTTTGTATGGTTAGTTGGTAGTGGGTATATTAAAATAATATTTAAAATAAAATAATTAAAATTGATATGATGAAAAGTAAGAGAAAAGTGATTGGAAGTGATGGTTAGTTAAAATTATGTGAGTGGATGAATAGTGAATTAAAGTTGATGTGATGTGTAATAACGATTGGTTGAATGATTGATTGATATTATTTAATTATATTAATAATATTGTAGATAGTGGAGTTGGTTAAAGTTGAATTAAATTTGAGTTTTGATTGGTTTTTTTTGAATTGAGATGATAAACAATCACCCCGTAACTAACCTTACAAGACAAGCAGCTAAGGTGCACTACAGCCAATGTACACTACAAGAGTGACCTAAACAAAAAAAAAAGACTAAAAACCCAACTACATCAAGAATAGAGCTCTAGCTAACAACAATAGACTAAGACTATGTTTGGTAAGTCAAATAAGTTAACTTATAGCTTATTTGGTTAGCTTATAAGCTTCATGTATTCAAATAAGCCTTGTTTGGTAGGACGAGCTTTTTCAAAAAGCTCGAGCTTATCTCATAAGCTACTTTAGGTAGCTTTTCAAATAAGCTAATTGAATTTTTTATTTCAGCTAACTTATCAGCTAATTTTACCAAACACTTTTATCATATAAGCTAGTTTTTCAGCTATAAGTCATAAGCTATAAATTATAAGCTCAAAAATTACATATAAGCTATAAGCTAACTTATCAACTATCATCTAACTTATCAGTTAGTTTTACCAAACATAGCCTAAAGTAAAGAACCCATTGGCTCCAAACTATTCTTGCCAATAAAAGTAGCTAAAAGAAGTTAAGCTAAAAGAGTCATGCCACTTATCAAGGATCCTAGCATAAACCTAACCAAAACTAAGAAGCACAGACTTGAACCAAAACCTAACAGTACCATAAAGGCAACAACCTCAACTAACAACAGCTATTAGAACTCAAACTACAGCACCAAAGAACAAAATAACACACAACGACAAACTAACTACAACTACTAAACTACAACCACCTAGAAACCAAAATATTTATAATCAAACGTTCAGATTTCCAGGAGTTTTGAAATACCCACATGTTCCTCACATTCCAAATCCATCACAAAAGATAAGCAGTGAGTTGTAACTTGGATTCTTAGAGGGCAAAATGATCCCGACAGCATTTCCTTGTTCACCAGTCAGGCCCGACCCTAGGCTAGGGCAACTGGGCAAGTTGGGTTATGGCCCAGGATCCATTAATAAAATGGGGCCTCATTTACATAAATTACTATGTATTTATAATATGTTAAAAATTACTTTTTACTAGGTCCAACTCAATTAACACAAATTCAACTTATAATTTTATTGGCCCAGAGCAATTAAATGTCCCAAATGGGCCCACCTCTCTCAATAGTTGAATTGAAATAGTTTTCTTTCTACTCACATTTGTTTTTGGCACGTAAAAACTTTTTTTTTTCTCACCTATTCAATCTCATTTGTAATAATAATAATAATAATAATAATAATAATAATAATAATAATAATAATAAGTGATTATTGACTATAAAATATTATTTTGTTCATTCTGGTATCTCTTTGGTTATTTTTTTTTCTATTATAATTTAATAGCGTAAATCACCGACACCATTTCTAGTTACCTTCAAGGAGTACCCAAAAATCGAGTTGGGTTTCAAATTTCATTTATATTCCTTTTCAACTGATTCCCCATACTTTCATTCAATTGATTCCTNCAAAGCAATCATTTATGTATAGTAAAAGTTGGTTTATTTACAATTAGAAACAAAAGTTTCATAAATTTACAAATAAAAAAAATTATAGATGGCATAACTTTCTTAAAGTAGATTAGGGGCATTACTTTTATATTCGTCCAGGACCCAAAACTATACAAGACCGGCTCTGCCACCAGCGCTTGAAATTGTATTAGTATTGAAGAAGTCCATCCAAGCTTAATGGAGAAATCTCCGAGATTCTTTTGCTCTGCTACAGTTGAAGAACAAGTGCTCAAGTGTTTCAGGGGATTCACCACAAGGTATGCAGATGAGATCGATTTGAAGCCCTTTTTTGGATAAGTTGGCAGGTAAGATGCTTGTCAAGCATTTCCACAAGAAATGCTTGTTATTATTTTGAGTGTAATAAATATATTAGGTGGTTGGCATCTTAGACGGTTGTCATATTAGGTGTTTGTATTATTTATTAGGTAGATGCTGATTTTTTTCTAAACCACCTCAACTAAGAGTATATAATTTATTGGGCTCTCAACAACTTCAACCACCTCATAATTGACGAAAACGCGTGAAGACTTCTGTCAATTGCTCAAAATCCCTTTATAAATAGCAATCAACTCATTTGATGAAATATACAGAAAAAGAGAGGAGAAACACGGCAGAGGAGGGAGAGAAAAGAAAGGGAAAGAAAGAAAGGGAAGAGAAAGAAAAAATATTCAGTACAAAAGAATACTTGAGGGATAAAAATATTGGTGATAAAATTAGAGAAAAATTATCAGAGAGATATTTTTATTTTTTAGTGCTCAATTCTCGACTCCGTTCCAGTTCGCCGGAGCTCGTAAATCTGGTGTGCTACAGATTTAGAGACGTTTGTCGTTGTATTTTTGAGAAAGTTACGCCTGAACCGTTGGCTGCCACACGGGGCGTATTTTTCTTGCAGAAAGAGTTTTACTCGCCTCGGCTTTAATCTTTATGTTTTTTTTATAAGTTTTAATTTATTTTAAAGTTGTAATTTATTTTTCAGTTCAATTGTAATTTTCTATTTTTAGATTATTTGTAAGAACTGAAAAATACATATCAGTTCGAAGGATTCCCGTGTAATTTTGACACCCAGTTTCTAACAATCGCAAGAAGAATATCTCGACCTACAGAACTGATGGCATCCACCGGAGATGGTTCCTATACTCAGCAGCGGATTAACCCTGTTGTTCACCTGTACCTGCTGTCCATGTCCCTACTGCTGAAAAGCCCGAAAAATTTCACGGGCTTGATTTCAAGAGATGGCAACGGAAGATGCATTTTTACCAGACCACTTTGGGTTTGGTGAAATACCTGAAGGACGACACGCCGGTCATTGCTGAAAATGAAACCAATACTGAACTACGCACTGCATACGAGTCTTGGGAGCAAGATGATTACCTTTGCTGTAACTATGTCTTAAATGGACTTAATAATGAGTTGTACAATGTGTATAGCTCTGTTGGTTCTGCCAAAGAGCTTTGGGCTGCTTTGGAGAAGAAGTACAAGACTGAGGATGCCGGGGCGAAGGAAATCGTCGTCGGCAAATTTTTTGACTTCAAAATGGTTGACACTAAGACCATTGTGTCTCAAGTGCAAGAGTTCCAACTCATCTTGCATGATATCCATGCTGAAGGAATGTCTCTGAGCGAGTCATTCCAAGTTGTGGCGGTGATTTAAAAGCTGCCGCCGGGTTGGAAAACTTCAAGAACTACCTCAAACATAAGAGGAAGGAGATGAGTCTTGAAGACCTGGTTGTTCGTCTTCGTATTGAGGAAGACAATCGTAATTCATCTGGAAAAGCTCAGATGATGGAGGCTCATAATAATTTGGTGGAGCAAGGCAACTCGAGCAAGAGGAAGACCCTTGACAAAGGGAAACAGCCAAACAAGGTTTGGAAGTTTATCGACACTTGCTATAACTGTGGAAAGCCGAACCATATGGCTAAAGACTACAAGAGGCCAAAGAAGGTTGGGCCAAAGAAAGGTATTGTGGCTGAACACGGCCCTGTGCCGGTTGAACTGATCGACTTTGATATGTCGCAGTGGTATTTGAAGCCAATATGGTGGATAACCCAAGGGAGTGGTACATCGATACTGGTGCCACTCGTTATGTGTGTTCCGATAAAGAGGTGTTTTCTGAATACATTCCTGCTAAGAGTCGAAAAATTTACATGGCAAACTCCTCCACAACTGATGTGGCTGGAGTGGGCACTGTAGTGCTGAAGCTGACTTCTGGAAAGGAGTTGAAGCTTAAGGATGTTCTGCATGTCCCAGACATCCGCAAGAATTTGGTCTCCGGATCTCTTCTTGTTGAGCATGGATGTAGGCTTGTGTTTGATGCTAAGAAGTTTATTCTTAGCAAGTTTGGAACTTTCCTTGGTCGTGGATATCTCGACAAGAGTTTGTTCAAACTGAATGTAATGG